CTCTGAGCACAGTGCAGAAAACCACCAAACAAACCAAACTATGGTCATCTTTAGTACACAATTTCAAATCTCAGATGGCTCCTCTGTACCAATAGCTAATGGTTTTATTTGTCCTTGGTCAATTACCTCTTCCATTCCTGTCAGTGATTATTCAGGATCCCAATCAATCTCTTTTCTTAAGTTCTCTGATCAATTCCCACAATCATCTTTCTCAGAAGAAATTCTTGATTCCAACTGCTTTGATACTATTGGAGCCTTCAGATATGATCCATGTTGACTTCCAGGCTCCACATACACAAATCTGTCTATGTATAAACCCAAGCTTTTTTCCTTCTCTCTAGTAGCTGAGGATTTAATCCCTCATGCTTTAAACAATCCCCAAATCTTTGCTCACCTGATTCCTACTGATTACAAGATTCCTTGCTCTTAGTTGTCTTACCTTACCTCTTACCTCTGTATTTTCAACTTCCCTCTCTCTCTCTTAATTTGCTCTAACCTCTGAGTCCATAAATATGCTCAAGTCTTCCCCATTATAAACAAACTTCCCTTTAATGCAATATCTCCTTCTAAGAAACATCTCATCTTTCTCCTTCCTTTCTTATCCAGCTTCTCAAAAGATTAGTTTCTATTTCTATTTTTTCATCTGTGTAATTATTCCTCACACATAGGCATAAGGATTCTTCCCCATTACAACTCTGGAAAAAATCACTAACTAAGATACCAGTGACTTTCTTATCACCAAGTAATAGGCAGATACTATTATTTCTCCTTCTGGACTTTTCTGCTGCAGTTAAAACTGATAATTGTTCTGTCCAGCTTTCTAGAAACAAACAGAAACACATAAAACTTTAATACTTAGTAGGCTTCATTGACACTTCATTTTCCAGCTTAAATTTTCTTATAACTTCTAGCCAATCCCATTCTGTCTTCTTATTGAGCTTTCCTCTTCTGACCACCTAAAACTACTTCCAAAGATCATGTTGTTGGGCTACTGATCTCATTCCATATACTTTTACTGGGAGGCTTCAGCTCACTCATTATTTTAAATACTGACTATATATATACACAATGTCTGAATTGATATTTCCGATTAGAAATCTCCTTTGAGTTTTGGCCTTGTATATACCAGTGCCTGCCAGATAACTCCATTTGGATGACCTAAATAAAGGCTTCTTTAAAATTAAAATGTCTCAACTTCAGCCTATCATCTTCCTCTCTAAACCTACTTTTCTAGAGTCTTTTTTACAAGTTAGGGCTCTCCCATCTACTTTGTTACCTACAGTATATTTATTTTTACTTACCACCTGAATTTTAAGTTTTCCAATTAAATAAATATCCTGCTGACTTGACCACCAAATGCATTTATCAGATCTATCTAGTCTTATTCTTTCTTACTAGAACTTTCCAAATTCTGGATAGACAGTATCTTTAAAATGGATTATTACAACAGCATCCTAATTAGTTTCAAGCTAACCCCCTCAAATTCATTCTCCACATGTCTATAGCTGCTTATAATACTTCTGTGTCTCCTCTTTGTTCATAAGAAGACGACCAACATCCCAAACATGACATCCCAGACCCTCTGGAATCTGGCTTCTCCCCATCAATCTAGTAACTCACTACCATTTTTGATCCTCCACTTTATGCTTTAGCAATATCAGCGAAACGCCCTACATATCATCTATTTTAAGCCCGTCTATCTTTAAGTCCCTCAGCCTTTATTCCTGATCTCAAATGCCTACCTACCTGTATCTGACCAATTTCTGCTCATTAATTAAGAAATTTCCCCCAGAAAGATTGCCCTCTTCAATTCCCCATCATTCTGAATCCAGCTTAAAGCCCTTTCATAACCACTCACTCACTGTATTTTGTTTGCTGTGCCTATCTTCTCACTGGACCATGCCTTTTTTGAGAGCAAGGACCATAGCTTTCATCACTGAGCATGATGCATGATAGACTCTCAAAATATATACATTTTTAAAAAATGAATGAGCAAAGGAGTTCTGCAAAGAACAATTTTGATGTACCAAAGTTAACCTAAAAACTTCTCTATGAATATCCTTCTCTAAACCCAGCTACTACTATGCATTTTTGAGACAGATATCATTATTTGACTTTCTCTTACTAATGATCATCAAAGTTAATTTTAATAAATTAATGTTGATCTTTTATGAGTTCTTCTACGAAAGCCCCTTGTCATAATATCTGGCAATATAAAATCAATGATCAAATTCTCTTTTAAGTGAAAGAATGTCTGACAAGAATACACAAGTAATCTAAACATTTATTACTAGCCCACTGTAGCTTCTTTCTGCATGCAACTTCTTACCCAAGATAGAACTTCTAATTCTTATTTTTCATTTAAAATTTTCTCTGCCTAGTGGTTTGATGACATATGGATGATTATGTAAAGGGAGGAAAAAAATCAGAAACATTGAAAACAAGTTATAAGTAATATCTTTGAGGAGTTTATATATTAGATGCAAAGTAGAAGGATGCACTGATACAAGAGCTAATGTGGGGAAAAACTGAACCATTCATTTCAGTGACAAAACTTCGGGTATTTCTCATTCTGTAAAACAAAGGTCCATCAGCCAAAAAGTTTCTTTATGAAGCAAATAATGGTTGATAGGAACAGAGTCAGATTTTAAAGACAAATTATGTTTGGAAGCAGCCTAAGAGTCCATAAACAGATGAATGGATAAAGAAAATGTGGTACATATATACAATGGAGTACTATTCAGTCATAAAAAAGAATGAGATCCACTCATTTGCAACAACATGGATGGAACTAGAGATCATTAGGTTATGTGAAAGAAGTCAGGCACAGAAAGAGAAACATGACATGTTCTCAATTATTTTGGGGAGCTAAAAATCAAAACAATTGAACTCATGGATATAAAATAGAAGGATGGTTACCAGAAGCTGGAAAGTGTAGTGGGCAAGGTTTGGGGACGGAGGTGGGGATGGTTAATGGGTACAAAAATATCATTAGAAAGAATGAGTAAGCCGTACTATTTGATAGCACAATAGGGTGACTATAGTGAATAATAACCTAACTGTACATTTAAAAATAACTTAAAGAGTATAATTGAATTGTTTGTAACTCAAAGGATACATGCTTGAGGGGATGGATACCCCATTTTCTGTGATGTGCTTCACATTGCATGCCTGTATCAAAACATCCCGTGTACCCCATAAATATATACACCTTACTATGTTACCACAAAAATTAAAAAGAAAAATAAAGGTAGAATATTACATATGAAAACAAGACAAATTATGTAGGTTGTTTGAGTGATATTGTTAACAGATTAAAAAATCAACAAAGGCCGGGCGTGGTGGCTCATGCCTATAATCCCAGCACTTTGGGAGGCTGAGGAGGGAGTTCGAGACCAGCCTGGCCAACACAGTGAAATCCCATCTCTACTAAAAATACAAAAATTAGCTGGGCATGGTGGCGGGTGCCTGTAATCCCAGCTACTTGAGAGGCTAAGGCAGGAGAATAGCTTGAATCCGGGAGGTGGAGGTTACAGTGAGCCGAGATCGTGCCACTCCAGCCTGGGCAACAGAACTAGCCTCCTTCTCAAGAAAGAAAAAAAAAATAAAAATAAAATAAACAAAAATCTATTACCTAAATTTAGTAGCTGATGTGAGTCTATCTAAACTTTCAATTCCAGTTTCACGCATTGCAAGACTGTCTCTAGTATCAATGGCAGCAGCACCATTCATTACCAACAGACTTATAATATTTCAAATAATTAAAATGTTGCATTGCATAAAATATAGAAATTACCTTTTGTATAACATATCTCCAAAAAGGAGCTCTTAGATTACATTTTATTTATTGCTTTGAAATGGAAAAACATCTGAAAGTTAATCCATACATGTCAAAAGTTATAACATAAAAATTAAAAGAATGAATTAAATATTATCAGAGCTTTAATAAAAAAAAAAAAACCCAACTATAATTATTTGTCAGGATCCAGCCAGTTTCCGTGCATTTTATGATACTATTTTTGTGAACATGATAGAATCTAAGAAGTGAGTTTGATGTAAGGAGTATTTTAAGACTCAGGATAATTGTTGCCAATGTAACCAGGTAACGTCTAAAACATTCTGGATCCTTATTCCAACAGGGAAGAGCTGTAGGGTATTAGGGCATTTTAGAAACTCTCAGTGGCATTTAGAAACTCTCAGAAGGAAGTAGGGTGGTGACTTTTAGGTTTTAATATTTCCAAAGGCTTTCAGAATGTCATGTGATAAGAGCTCAAAAATTTTTGCAGCAGCCAGCTTTCCAGCAGCTTGCTTCTGCTTTTTAATGTTGAAGTACATGAGACCTTAGTTGTTAAATGCCTCTCAATATTTACCAACCACAAATTTGCTTTCTATATTTTTCCTTCCAAGTGAATCCCAATATCTTTAGGATGCCTGTTTAACTTCTCTGCTCCTTTGTCTTCTTTGATTAAGAGTCATTAATGAGCATTTGGCTTTTAATAAGAAAAACAAGGTAAACAGAATTACCAGGAGAGGTCCTAATGGTACAATCAAGTCAGAGTAATGGACAGAGTTTCCTGGTGGATTTCTAAAGGCATATAAGCAAATCACAGTTTACTCGAGGGATAAATTTAACATTTTCTAAAAGTTTACTCTGAATATTAGTTATGTTTAAAAGTTTACACTTTCTTTCCTGCATTTTTGCCAGTTAAAAAACAACTATGCCTTTGTTTAATCTTAATAAGATTAGGATAAAACAATATTAAATAATTTTTAAAATATGATGGTTTAAGAAACACAAATGCAAGAGTTATATTTTCATGATTATTATTATAAGCTAGAGCAAATCATTGTACCACAACCTGATTTTAGTAGTTTTTAACATGACAAACTTTAGTCTTTTACTGAATCATTTTGTAGAATTAAAATCTCTCTGAAAAACATTGTGATGCCTTTAGATTGGACAGCAGAAAATAAAATGTGTCTCAACAAGTACTTCTGACCTTTTAAGGCTTCAGGAAGTATGTGGAGGTAAGCACTTTCCTGAGGTGTCATCGTCTCTGAGGAAAGAAAAGGGATCCAGCTGCCAAGTGACGTTCTAATTCTCATGGTTGGGCCTGTTGTCTGGAAAAAGAGTCATGCTTCATTTAGTAATTCCAGTGTTTCTTCCTCTTCCTGTAAAGAAGGGTGTGGGAGCAGGGAATATTCATTCACAAAAAATGGAATAGAAATATGTATCCCGTGGGAAGGAGTCATTTATAGAACTGTCTAAAAATATGTATTTGGGCAGGTCAGATGATATTTTGCAATATTACTGTCATGACCATTCAGTTTGTACACTGGCTTTGAATATGTGTTCATTTCTGAAGCAGGAGTCATTTTGAAGTACTAGGAAAATGGGGTTGCCAAAGAGATAAACTGTTATATGGTTAATTTCTTTGTATCTGGTTCAAACCAGTCCCCCCAAGCAGAACTTATGGATATCTGAGAAATTAAAAAAGTAATAGTCTACTTAGGATTCCTTACCAATGACATTATCCTTATAATATAGTATTACAAGTTATAGTCTTTTTTAATTTAGTACATAATTTTGTGACTTATTAAATAGGTCATAAAAGTAACTGGGCAAAGGAAAACTAAGATATTGCAGGAGAAATCCAAGTCACAGAGCTCATTCAGCACAGCTGACTAGAAAACTGATCGTTCTTGGACTCTGATTGCTGATTTGACGCATGGAGAGGTTTTCATCACCATTGTAGGGGCTATCTGAGAATGGGCACAGGTTGGAGTGTAAGAAACACAGAAAAAGCCTTGGTTTCCACATCCCTGCTCCTTGTCACACATCCACTGGGTGACCTTGATTTTAGCCTCTTTAAACCTCAGTTTCCAAAGCAGGAGTGAGAACTGAATAATTCATCAGTTATTTTTTTCTGGCTCTAGATTCTAATTTCATGTTTTATTATCTTTGGCTCTCCCTCAGTTGTGAAGGAAGACTGAATTTTGCTTGTGTTCTAGATGAAAGATTTTCATGTTCATTCAAGTCAATATTTCAACTGAAAATTAACTACAGTTTTATTTTTCAAAAGTGATCACTTGACTTTCTGGCTTGCATATATTTTTATCTGGATGACATGTGATGTGTCATGCTCCATCCTTTAGAGAGAAGCAACATCTAGCTTAAGGGTCAAAATGGAGAGGGCTGAGGTTGCACTCTTTCTGAGATGATGGTCACTGTCTGCATGGGCGGCTGTTTTTTTTTTTTCCTGGGGGTGGACTCAGGTCATCCCAACTCTTTACCACGTCATTTCTTTAGCCTCCACAAGACCATCTCTCTATATATGCAGATATATATAGGTGCTTTTCTTTATTGAAGCATTGGCGTAATTTAAGATGATAACCAAACAAAAAAGGAGAAAAATTAGGGCTTTATGTTAAGTAGTATATTTACAGTTTCCAACAGAAATCACAATAAGAATTGAGTTACTTACAAGGAGTCCAATCCCAGGCATCTCCCCAGATACTTTCTAACCATATCTTCCTCCCCACTCCCCATAATGAAATCAATGGTAGTCTCTTCTAAGTGCTTCATATTCTAAAGCTTTTCTTGGCTAATCTTCGTCATTTTTTTTTTTTCCAGCAAACTTTAGCCCTACCTATGTCTTGATTATAGTCTCCTTTCACAGTGCAATTTCCCAAATATGAGTCATTCCTTCTGGATTCTTGAAGAGGAAAAATTTTATTCATATAATGAATAAATATTAACAAACTTCTGGAATGACCCTTTCTTAGAATGGAGAGGAAAGATAAATAACATCATCTCCAAGTTAATGTCTTTATCTTTATTCTACATCAGAAAAGTGAAGATCATGTTCGGTTACCCTTAGGGAACATACCCAAGTCACGCAGCACCAAAGTATGTTAGCAGCAGTGAGTTAGTATGGGTCTGCAGCAACCTCAGTTCTTGCCTCCTCGGAAGAAAGAATTCAATCAAGGGGCATAAAACACAGAGAGACTGAGGCAAGTTTTAGAGCAGTTGTTAAAGTTTAGTTAAAAGCTTTTGAACAGGAATGAAAGGAGATAAAGTACACTTGGAAGAGAGCCAAGTGAGTCACTTGAGAGATGAAGTGTCCGGTGTGACCTTGACTTGGGGTCTTATACGTTGGCATTCCACATGCATAGTGACCTGCCAGCGCTTGGGAGGGGCTGCATGTGCATGGTGTTTACTGGAGTTGTACGCATGCTCACTTCAGGCATTCTTCCCTTACCAGTCAAATGTTCCTATAAGGTCATGTAGTGGTTAAACTCTATGATTTTGCTTCTTAGTGCATGTGCTTGAACTCACTTGCCCAACTCTTGAGATCTTATCAAGAAGCTGCTGATCACCAGTATCAGGGGTGTCTATCTATTGGGAGACTGTCTTTTCCTGGCACTGGCTGTGACCAATTACTATTTTAGAGACACAGTTAACAGCCACCTGACCATCACCTGATGGTTGCCTGACATTCCTGGTTGGTATTGGAGAGGGTGGTTCTCCTGCCCTGCTCATGTCTGACTACCTACTTTAACATTCAAACGAAGAGATACTATCCTGTCTTTTCCCATTATCCCATTCATTTGGAAGTTTCTGTCCTATGCGGAAGAAGGAGGGGATGCTACATGAAAGTAAGTCAAAGAAAGAAGAACTCAGTAAAATCCAGCTTTAGCAATAAAATGCAGGAGCCAACTAAACCATCATATAAGCAGAGCCAAGTTTTGACTGCAATGTCAACCACAGAGAGTAACTTTGCTGGAATGTCTAAGGGTTTCCAGTGGTCTGGTGGTGAGAGAGTCAAGTTAGGCCTAAATTTTGCCAGCTCTGATTTCTGTGTTTTGAATGCGTTTCTTGGAAGTAGAATCTAATTATCTTATTTCCATGGACTATCTTCTATCAAATCACTGAAGTAACCTCTAGTTACATTTCAGTTCTAACATTTAATATATCTGGCATCTTGGTAGCCAAAAAATTGCTTTACCATATTAGTCAGTTTTCACACTGCTATAAAGAACTGCCCGAGACTGGGTAATTTATAAAGGAAAGAGGTTTAACTGACTCACAGTTCAGCATGGCCTCAGAGGCCTCAGGAAACTTACAATCATGGCAGAAGGTGAAGGGGAAGCCAGGCACTTCTTCACAAGGTGGCAGAAAGGTGCCAAGGAAAGGGGAAAAGAGCCCCTTATAATGCTATCAGATCTCGTGAGAACTCACTATCATGAGAACAGCATGGGGAAAACTGTCCCTATGATTCAATTACTTCCACCTGGTCTCTCCCTTGATGCATGGGGATTATGGAGATTATAATTCAAAATGAGATTTGGGTGGGGACACAAAACCTAACCTTATCACCATGTATAAATATGTTTATTTATGAGGTTTATTAAGTGTTGTTTGGGTCTGAGAGTACTAGTCTCTCTAAACACCAACAAATTCTGTACCAATTTAGAAATAAGTAGAAGGGGCCGGGTGCGGTTGCTGATGCCTGCAATTCCAGCACTTGGGAGGCTGAGGTGGGTGGATCCCTTGGGGCCAGGAGTTTAAGACCAGCCTGACCAACATGGTGAAACCCTGTCTCTACTAAAAATAAAAAAATTAGCCAGGCATGGTGGTGCACCTTTACTCGCAGCTATTCGGGGGGTTGAGTTGGGAGAATAGCTTGAACTCGGGAGGTAGAGGTTAGAGTGAGCTGAGATTGCGCCACTGCCACTGCATTCCAGCCTGGGCAACAGAGTAAGATCCTGTCTCAAAAAAAAAGAAAAGAAAAGAAAAGAAAACGAAAAGAACAAAAGAAAGAAATAGAAGGGCTAACTATAGATAAAATTGTAGCATTGATTTATATCTGATACAGTTAGATTAGAAAATAACTCTTGTACCTGAGACCACAAGAGGTTTCTTCACATATGCAGGCACTGGAACTTACATATGTAGATAGTTGGGTTTGCAAAGCAGGCATATTCTTCATCAGTTGCCCCACCTCCGACGACACACAGAGCTCAAGAGGAAAGGCCACTTATGGTCAATAAGCATGAGCATATTGATGGTGGCCATTAGAAGAAAAAAGTGTAAATCAATGTAAGTCAGTCTCTCACTATTACACCAATCATATAAATCACTCTTCCTACTAAAGGAAACATCAAGTGAGAAGCAAGAAAAAGGTTAATGGTTTCTTTGCAAAATTATCATTTGCATCTAAGTTCTTGTTTAATGAACTAAGTAGAAGACGGAAAGGGGGAAAGGATGGTTTCACTTACAATGGTAAGAAGGTCAATAACTTTCAGCAGATTAACTCGAATTTATACCATGAACTGAATGCTAACTTTTTTTAAATTAATGATTATAAAGTCTGCATCCTACCTAATAATTTTAATAGCACTGTTCTTTGTTTCTTTCCTCAGACTTTGTGGTAGATTCATTCCTTTATTTATCAACAGATACTAGGGATACAGTGTTACCTTTGAGGAAAGCAAGATATTTCAGGAAAGAAACAAGTGAGCAAAGAGCTTCAATATACTGTGGACAGTGCTGCAACAGAGAAGGATGAGAAGGCTCCAGAGGTGGTGATACTTAAAAAGAAACTTGAGGCCGGGCACAGTGGCTCGCGCCTGTAATTCCAGCACTTTAGGAGGCCGAGGTGGGCGGATCACCTGAAGTCAGGAGTTAGAGATCAACCTAGCCAACAATGTGAAATCCCCACTAAAATACAAAAATTAGGCAGATGTGGTGGCAGGCGCTTGTAATCCCAGCTACTTGGGGGGGCTGAGGCACAAGAATCGCTTGAACCCAGGAGACGGAGGTTGCAGTGAGCCGAAATGGCACCCTTGCACTCTAGCCTGGGAGGCAAGGGTGAAACTCTGGCCTCCACCTCCCAAGAAACTTGAAAGATGAATAGCTATTAAAGGAGCAGGCAAAGAGAGGGGAAAGCTTTCGAAGCAGAGAGAGCAACATGCCTAAAGTTGACAAGTGATACTGCTTCAGGGAGCTTCAGGGAACAAGAGTGGTTTGCCTGGAAATTAAGGGACATGGGAAAGTTGGATTTCTTCATCTGCCACTTCCCTCCTAGGACAGCACTTAATACTTTGATGCAAATTAC